ACGACGGCGGTGAGGGTTTTGTAGTCCCAACAGAGCCCCTACGCTCGGAAGCCGATATAGTCGCCGGCCTCCAGTTCCTAGTTCAGTCGTACCTCATTTTACCCGGGGAGACTGACGATGAGTTCCGGTGAGTATAGTCCTTGTTTAGGGAGTGAAAAAAAAAGACATATTGACACAGCGTATAGGTTCGCGCATGACCGATTCGTTCATGCCGTGTCGTCCCTGAGGGAATGTCACAACGTCGAGAAGATGAATTTCATCATTGCACAAACCATGATGAAGTATTGTCCCGACGATAAGACTCTCTACTCGAAAGCGCGTCACATCTGTCAAGCCTCGCGTCTCATCAAGGATCGAGTCGAGGACAGAGCCTGCTATAGAAAAGTGTTGCGTGATGCGGCGCAGATGGCAGTCCGGTCGGGAGCACGGCCGACAGCCCTCTGGTTTTTACGCAACTGCCTCGAGCTTCTCCAAACCGACTGTTGGAACGATAGTCTTCCAGACGTAGACTATGAGGAAACCCGGCAACTCCATATATTGACGGCAGAGATGCTGTGGTATCAAGGTCAGAACGAAGAAGCCTTCAAGCTACTCTCCGAGCTCTTTCAGCACGCCAAGACTCCTGCAGGGAAAGCCAGGGCTTGGATTCTCAAGAGCAAGATCCACTCTCAACTTGGCGATCATAATCGCGCGATGGATTCACTGCTCACCAGCTTGGAGGAACTTGGGGTGCACATCCGCCAACCCACGTCGTATGAGCAATGTGACGCCGCCTTCGATCGACTCCGACACCATCTCAAGAGCATCAATTTTGAGAGTGAGATACAAAAACCGGTGAGCGAGGACAAGAATGTGGTGGCAATCGGAAGTGTTCTGGCCGAGGCAATGGCAGTAGCGTTCTGGGGGGACGCTCTGACCTTCCTACACATGGCGATCGAGATGATCAAGATTCATCTCTTCAGCGGCCGCTTCACGCAGATCGGCCTCGGCTGTACTCATTTGGCCATGGTCGCATACAGTCGTTACAAGGATCAAGAGTTAGGCGCCAGAATGAGCGACTTGGCGGTCCTGCTGTACGACCAGCACGCGGACTTGTGGTCGCGAGGCGCCGGTCTCACGATCCAAACCTCAATGGTTGAACATCTGCGAGTTCCGCTCCGGATGGCTCTTCCCACGCTGGAGCATGCGGTGGAAGCTTCCTTTGCAGGCGGAGATCCCCATCCAATGCTCCTGAGTTTCGCCTCTATGGCTGCTGCTCGATTGTATCTGGGCCATGATATGTCCGAGCTAGAAACTTTCTGTACCGAAACGCCCGAGGAACTCGACGACTGGGTGCACGATACACGTGGGGGAGTAATCCTTGTAGCAGTAAAGCAAGTCGCGCGAGCCCTGCAAGGCAAAACCTCCTGGCAGGTGCCAGCTTATATCATGTCGGACGAGTATCACAAGACTTATGAGTTCATGGAGTTTATAGATGTGCATGCGACGCGCGCAGATCGGCCCCGGGACGTCTACTGGGGCCTTGCAATGATTCCCCTGTACGTGTATGGACACCACGAGAAAGCCATCGAGGTTGGTACAGATATGATGGAATCCGTGGACAGACTATGGTCCATGCGAATATCTTATTTGATCCACTTCTACCTGGCGCTCTCCATTCTCACCCAGCACTTCGATAATCCCGGTTGTAGCGACCTGGATTCGCGCCTTGACGATGTGTTAAAGTACAAGGCCGTGATCGACTTTGCCAGAAGCGCCTGTGACGCGAACTATGGCATGTGGTCCTTGCTTTTGGAGGCGTTACTCTGTGAGGTCAGGCAAGAATTCGATTCAGCTATACTTGCCTACGAAGTAAGTCAGTCCTATAGGAATGACAATGACAGGGTTGAGCTAAGCTGTGTCAGGCTGCGATCGACCATTGCGAAATTCATGGATGGCCTTTGGAGGAAGCTCTGGCTCTTGAGCTCTATGGTGAGTAGCCTCAAATAATTCGAGATTATCCGCTTTCAGCGTCTAACGTAGTGTGACAGGTGATTTCCTTGTTCGGCGAGGAGCCAAACGACCTGCGCGGGCCATGATTAAAGAAGCTATTGCTGCATGGACCAGCATCAGCGCCACTGGGAAGGCCGCACAGCTCTCTGAAAAACACGAGTGGCTGCTGAAAACGGCAACAACATCCCGAAGTAATGATGTTGGTTGTCAAACTGTAGATTCTCTTGTCGGCATCACTCGTAACGCACCACCAGAGCCTGTTCCACCGCCCATGGAAGATGACAGGAAGAAGCAGTGGCTAGAACACAATGAGCCCTCCGCAGGTGAAGGATCTCTAGACATCTCCAGTGTCGGGCTAGGTGAGTGTAGTTTGTCGGTCATCGTGCAAACACCTACTGATCGGAAACTAGATATCATCGACCTGTCCAGCATTCTCGAGTTCAGTCAAGTGATGTCCTCGGAGCTGCAATTCGATAAACTCCTGACGAAGATGATTGAGATCATTCTGGAGTCGTGCAATGGCTCGGATTTGGCAGTTATTGCCACGGAGTTTGAAGATATGGGCTACGCGATTGCCGCGACTGGAGACCTGGAGAATGGACAGACAGCGTTCCCGGATGGTCTTCCCTTCTCGGAAATGGAGGATAAGATCGCTCAGCAGATCTCTCATTATACTCTTCGCACTCGGGAAGAGGTGCTCGTTCACAATGTCCTTGAGGATGACCGTTTCTCGATTGTCAGCGACGCATACCAAGCACGCTATCCGCTCGGCCGATCTGTCATAGCATTGCCAATCGTCCAAGCTGATAATCTACTTGGAGTCATCCATATCGAAGGAAAGCCCAATTCGTTCACGCAACGTAACGTAGTTGTGCTCCGTCTACTCTGCAACCAGGCCGGGATTTCCCTTGCCAATGCGTTACTGTTTCGCAAAGCTCGCAAAGTCAGGTGAGTTTATCGCTTTTTTTTTTAACCCTTTTTCTTTCTTTTACTTTGTATGCGTTGACTTACTGATGATAATAGCGCGACGAATGCTGCCATGGTTGAAACACAAAAGCGCGCTCTGGCCCAGGCTCGCGAGGCGGAGCAGAAAGCCAAGGTCGCGGAAGCCGAAGCGAATCGCAATGTCAAGCTCAAGGATGATGCGGCCAAGGCCAAGTCTATCTTCCTGGCCAACGTGTCCCACGACCTGCGTACGCCGATGAACGGCGTCATTGGACTTTCTGAATTGCTGAAGGGGACGAAACTGGACAAGGAGCAGGATGGCTATGTGGAGTCCATCCGGGTCTGTGCCGACACACTGCTGACGCTCATCAACGACATCTTGGACTTTTCGAAACTCGAGGCTGGGAAGATGAAGATCTCGACAGTGCCTTTGAACCTGAGAGAGACGATCAGCGAAGTTGTCCGCGCGCTTCGATATACGCACCGCGACCGAGGCTTGCAGACGATCGAGGATCTGGACAAGGTTCCGCCGGACTTGGTCGTCCTTGGAGATCCGGTCCGTCTCCATCAGATCTTCATGAATCTTCTCAGCAACAGTTACAAGTTCACACCCAAAGGATCCGTCACAGTGAGGGCCAAGGTGACACGTGAGGGCAAGGGTCGAGTACGGCTGGAATGTTCTGTGCAAGATACCGGTATTGGAATCCCGGAGGAGCACAAGTCGCGGCTCTTCCGACCCTTCTCACAGGCAGATAGTTCCACGGCGAGGTCGTACGGCGGCAGCGGGCTTGGGTTGAGCATCTGCAAGGCCATTATCGAAGATGTCCTTGGAGGGCTGATCTGGCTGGATTCGACCCCTGGCGTCGGCACGACGGTGACATTCCAGCTGGTCTTCAACAAAGCTCCAAAGGAGGCGATCGTGAAGGCACCATGGTCACAGAATTTCAACCAAGTTCAGGTTCGGAGTCCACCCAAGCCGGTGGCCCGGGACCTCACGACGATTCCTCGAGATCAGATTCGAGTCTGTATCGCGGAGGATAACCCGATCAACCAGAAGATTGCCGTCCAGTTCGTCCGGGGGCTAGGATTGCAAAGCGAGGCTTTCAGCGACGGACAGCAGGCTGTGGAAGCGCTCCGGCAGCGTTCGAAAGAAGGACGGCCGTTCCATGTTGTTTTGATGGACGTCCAGATGCCGGTTCTGGACGGATATAATGCGACGCGTGAGATCCGGCGAGACGAAGATCCGAATGTGAATGAGGCTTTGGTGATCGCCATGACAGCGAGCGCTATTGAAGGTGATCGCGAGAAGTGCCTCGACGCGGGCATGAACAACTACCTTGCGAAACCGGTGCGGTCGGGCGTACTGAGTGAGATGCTTGATCAGTACTTGGCTCCAGTGCCGCAGACGAAGCTGCGCCGCCGACCCGTCACGCAGAGCAGCAGCGACATGAGTACTGATGGGGCGGGCACGCCGAGCAGCTACGCATCTGCGACCAGCAACGTCAGTGCGGTCATCGCGGACGACGAGTCGTCATCGCAGGAGCCTTCACAAGACCCTTCACAAGAGCCTTCACAGGGGCCTTCACAGGAGCCTTCACAGGGGCCTTCACAGGGGCCTTCACAAGAGCCATCGCAGGGGCCATTGCAGGAACCGTCACAGGAGCCACCGCAGGACAGCCAACAACTCCCTGATGGCAGCACACGATCGGACACGTCTGCAAATGGCGTGTCGGATGAATCTAAAACTCGGACGGAGAGTATCGATACGCAGAGTTCGTGAGCGGGCCCTGCACTACTTTGATATCTTCATTTTTTTTTCGTTCAACGCCATTCTTCTTCTATACTTCTACGACATAATTCTTATATTATTTTTATTGTGGGCTTTGTTTTTTCAGAGGATCTATCTGCGGGACATGATAATGATGGGAGATCGTCACCTGTTGGCATTGGAAGTATGAACGATTTGGGTCTGCTAGTTCTGGCGTATGCGTTGGAGTTGGGCTGCATTTTTCTTCCTGGATATCCCACGAGGTTTATGACGGATATGTTTCTCGGCCTTGATTCTGCGATTTATTAGATTTCGTTGTGCAGAGGGAATTGGGACGGCGTTCGAATATAGCGATAAAACGAATTTATTTATGTATGTACTGTGCGTATGTACGTAGAAGGTATTTACTCTTAATCTCTTCTGAACTCAAATATTAGTAGACTAAGCAGTAGAACTAAGGGAGGAACTTTTCTGCAACAATGCCTTACTCGTAATTCTTTTTTTTATTTTCTTGCTGATAGTCGGCAACTATATACAGAGATATATACAGATCTCAAGGACGAAATCAAACTGCCCTCCGCCCAAAAATGCGCAACCGCTTGACTCCTCCGTCCGGCACGAGGGTCAGCTTGACGTGCGTGAAGACACGAGTGTCCTCGCCACCGGCCGCCAGATCGGCGCCCTCGAAGACATGCTCCGTGTCGGCCTGCGTGGGTTTCTCCCCCTTTACCAGCTCCACCCATCCGGGGTGGTCGTGGCCGGGTTCCTGTCCGTTAAGTGCGTCCGCGTCGCTCCGGACGAGTCCATGCACCCGGATCGCGCGCGGGAAGTTACCCCGGAAGTCTTTCGTGTCGACCACCACCTTGCTCACTGAGCCCGGCAGTCCCAGGCGGATGATCGCCCAGTCGACGTGTCCTGGCGCCCGCGAGCGTGCTGTCTCCCACCCGTCGCCCATGTCCTTGCCCCGGCCTGGAAGCAGCAGGTTTGAGCACGGCGTGTAGTGCTGATCTGACGCCGCGAGCGCCAGTCCTCCGAGCAGCGCGGACGAGAGCTCTTCCACCGGCCGTGCTGTCGGGTCAGCTGCTGCCGCGGCAGGCAGCGGTGGGGGGATCGCATGGCCGTAGAGTCGCAACCGGGCGAACCCTCCGTCGGGGTACATCAGGAGACGGACATGCGTGTAGGGGGTAGGGTTGGCCGGGTCATAGTTGGTCAGCTTCCAGGCCTGACGCTGCGAGGGGCCGCAGGGCTGAGGAGGCAGGATGGTCGTCCATCCTTTATAGTCAGGTTTGGCGATCTCCTCGTCGCTGACATCCGGGGCGTACGTAGCCTCCAGCGCCGCCTTCTCGCCGTAGTTCCCGACAAAGTAGGCCGTGTCGACCTCGACGCCCTCGATGGCGCCGCTCGCAACGCCCAGCTTGATCACGACCCAGTCGTATGGTTCAGGGTTGTGCCGCCGCGTCTCCCACCCGTCGTACCAGGCGCCTGTGTGCACGAACACCCCCGGCCGGTGGATGGGCGGGGTGGGCGTGAGCAGGTTCGAGGCCGCGGCGAAGTATTCATTGGAGCAGGCGAGCACGACGGTGTTGAGGGCGGACGAAGCGAGGTTGGTGGTACGGGCGAAGACGGTGTCGATCTGGTCGGACGCAATCCGGGTAGGAGAAGCCATGGTGGCAACAATCAGGAAGTGGACAATAGGAGAATTGACGCTGCACAGAATTCAATTGAATTCAATTGATAATCGACCTTTCTTTTTCTTTTCTTCCTATAAAAAGAAAGAAAGAGAGGGGGTGGAGAGAGAAATAGCGCAGGAGATGAGGGGCAGGCCGTTATCTTATCAGCGTCGCGTGCTCTGGCTTTCCTGCCTGTGACACCATTAAAATGACTCAATTCCTCGAATAGCAGAAATTGGCTTTGACAGTCGCACAATGAGACTAAACAAAAGCTCAGAATCCCCTCGCCACGCTGTACACTGGTCCAGAGACCTCTGACTCGGCTTGCTGGCCGGAGTGTGCCTGCGATGAGAGAGGATCGGAGCTCGCCGATGGCCATGGCCCAGACTGCCAGTTTCCTTCCCTTAGGGAGGTTCCGTACCCACCGGTCCGTCACACAGGAAGCAACTCCATCTTCAGCCTGAAGTCTTGTCCAACAAGGATATCTTCTCCTATACTTTAAGGAAATAAATGTTGCAGCCGTTTGTGCATTTTACATAAGCATTGCAGCTGCAAGCCTTAGCACCCAATAGGAGATTGACAAGGCTGTTGTCACATGTCAGATGGATTATAGACTTCAAATTAGTTAACTGTACAGTGAGCATCTTACCTCAACCTCAAACACCTACTTTCTCCAACCCATAGATAATCTGACTTGAGCCTCAAGCTAGTCTGTCTATCTGGTCTGACTGACATCAACTGCTCACTTTTTCCGGCCTATAGGTAACCTCATCTGACCTGCCCTGCCCTGACCTGACCTGACCTGACCTAGTAGTGGTAAATTATTAGTAAGAATGGTCAAACCCTCACTTTGTCCAACCTATAGGTAAGGGCCGTAAGGTACCTAGGTACTAATTTAAATATCTAATCATAGTTAGATTAGGGTAATCTGAGCAGGGGAGGAGGGTGGAGTTAGGGTTGTTGGGGTTAATAGGTCGGGTAAAGTGAGTGTTTGACCAAACCCTCACTCTCTCCAGGTTTGGTATCATATCAGTAAGTCTTTGAGTCTGAGCTTAGGGCTGGACAAAGTGAGCATTGACCAAGTCCTTGCTTTGTTCAGTTTCCTGGAATGTTCTCTTCCAGCTTACCTACCTAAAAGGGTTGGGGCAAAGTGAGTGTTTCCTACTATACAAAGAAAGACAACGACGCCCATTAGAAGGGATCCCATGTGACTTGAACTAATCTTGGGATCTGACTGATCTAGCCTGTTTGTTTGAAGGAGACTGAGTTGAAACAAATAAAGAAGAATAAAAAGGGAGGGAGTGGAAAGAAAAGGCAAAAGACTATTTAGTCTATTGGGACTGAGAGGTTACATGTGTATATAGTACAGCACACATCCTATCTAATATACATATGCCTCATCCATAATCACTGCTGGAACATCGCATGGGGTGAGAAGGAAGAGAGAGTCTATGACTGTCGTCTCTCAATCACCTCCAACCCCCCCATCCATTTCCTCAGCACCTCTGGCACCACCACAACCCCCCTCTTCTCGTCCCAGCCGTTCTCTAATATGGCAGCCAGCACCCGAGGAACCGCCATTGCCGTCCCGTTCACCGTGTGAGGGTACCGCGAGTTCTTCTCCTCGCCTCCCCGAACCCGCGTTCCCAATCGCCGGCTCTGATAGTCCGTGCAGATCGACGCTGAGGTTACCTCTCCCCAACCCGTCTCGAGATCGGGCTTGAATTCAGACGACAGTCGTATCCGGGAAGGGAACAGAACCTCGATGTCGCGCTTACGGGCCGCGCTCGCTCCCAGATCCGTCGTCGGCATCTCCAACACGCGGCACGGCAGACCGAGAGAACCCAGGATCTCCGTCTGAGTGTCCAGCAGGTTGTTGAAAAGATCATCCGTCATCGGATTGGAAGTCACAGAAGCAGGAGTGGCATCAGAATTTGTCCGGATATTGTCCGCCCATCCGAACAGTTCTACCTTGGTGAACTCGTGCACCCGATAGAGCCCCTTGGTGTCAACGCCCCGAGCTCCCGCCTCAGCGCGGTAGCACCGGCTGGCGCCCACCAGCTTGATCGGCAACTCGGACACATCAATATCCCGTCCAGCGTACATGGCCGCCAGTGGAATCTCCGCAGTCCCGGCCAGCGAACGCTGCGGCTTGGCCTTTTCCTTCTCGGTCTGCTCAATGGACCAGATCTGCTGTTCGTCGTTCCGGTCCCGCGGTTGGAACCCGCATGCCTCCGCAATATACGAATAGACGAGCGAAGGGGGAGAGACGGCCTTCCAGCCGCGGCGGAGGGCAACACTCATTGCATACTGGACAAGAGCATGCTCCAGCAAGGCCCCTTCATTTGTCAGAAAATACCATCCCCACCCGGTCGATGTCGCGGAGCTGGTGAAGTCGATGAGGCCGAGAGAGGCACCGATGGAGACGTGAGAACGACTCGGGTCAGGCTGGTTGGCCCACGATGGAGGATTTTCTGGATCGAAATTGATGTATCGAACGAGCCGCGGTTCCTCGCCGATGGGCGTCTCCGGGGAGGAGAGGTTGGGCAAAGCCAGAGCCAGCCGCTGGATTTCTTCATCAATCTGCGCTTTCCGCAACGTCTTTGCTTCGGTCTCACTCTTCAATCGCTGCGCCTCCTGACGGAGCGTCTCGAGCTGTTCCTTGTTCTCTGGCGATTGCCCGCCCTGCGCGGCCACCTGCGCTATCGACCTCTCCACCTTCTTGATCTCATTCCGGGGCTTTTTGAGCTCCTCGACCAGCTGTCTCGCCTCCTTGGACAGTTGCAGGATTCGGTAGGGGTACTCGGCGTGTGCCGCGTAGTTGCGATCGATGCAATTCCGCGAGAAGAGCTCCGCATTATCTCGGATGAACTTGACGTCCGGGACCGGTTTGGGTGCGGTCGGAGGGCGAGACGCGTCACCGCTTCGAAGGGAGGAGGTGGTGAAATTGCGTCGGAGGCAACGGCTCCATCGGCTGACGGCCACGGTCGGGGCTCTGGAAGGGGCCATTGGGCGAGGAGTGGTGGTGACGGAGTGTTGTGTCTGTCGAGACTCGAGAGTCAAGACTGCGGAGGAGAAGGTTCGGACTGTCGGAGTAGCGTTCTTTGGGTGAGCCATCAGATAGGATAGCGGCATTCAATATTACTACAGATCTTCAACATCCTACAAATACAGGATATGAATTTGCAAAGATTTTTCATTAATTAAATTTAGATATATATGCCCTTCATTTTTCTCCCTCTATTTTCGTTTCCCCTTGTTAGGAAATACAAAAAAAAATATTTCACACCACAAAACAGCTACAGCTACGAAAACTCCCGTCTAGTTTGGTGGGCATGAGTTTCACTGACTCAGCTTCATGTGTAGGAAAATGAGACACTGGCATTTATGCTATTCGAATCGTCAATCGCTTAAAGAAGCATTGCGGTGTGCTGCTTTTGCATTCCAAACGCAAACGTTCAAAAGCAGAAGATAATGTCGAAGGAGAAAAGCAAAATCATAATTTCGTTGAGAGTAATAAATGGAGCCATGCATATCTTCGCATACTGTATCAAACAATAAATATCATCAGTCATCACGACTGCTTCGGGTCATGAGTGATCGGGTGATCATAGATTGTGCATCGTTAGATAGAATATACTATACGGTGTCCTTCCAAGTCAGTTACATAGTAGACTTGGAAGTTCATGCAATATGTTCTTCGCGCAAGGTCCATCTTCGTCTTGCCAACATGCCAAGATTAGAAACCCAGCTTGTGCTTCCTAATGCGTGCCCCCACTCCCAGGATCACCAAGACAGCGGTCACAAGCACCACCCACAGCTTGATGCCGAGTGTGTTCTTGTTGTAGGTCGTCTGCGTGGCAGCAGAGATGGTCGCCAGCTCCAGCACGAGCAGGACATAGCCGCTGATCCGGTGGTACTTGTACACCTTCTTGCCGTTCTCCACGCTGCCAAAGATCGCCACGGGCAGGAAGTACTGGGCAATCCCAACCAGCGCCTGCAGAACGATGATGATATAGGTGATCAAGCCCAGGATACCGTGAGGGGAGGTCAATCGCGGGTGATCGCCCTTGTTGACCTCGATGAAGACAAAGGCTGCGATAAAGGCGAGCGTGCTCACAGTCAGCAAAGCGAAGTGTACGCGGGTTCCCAAGGTTTTCTGTTGCGGTGTTGCCGTGGGCTGCAGAACCAGAATTGCCTGCACCTGTAGCAGCAGGGCAGCCGAGTTGAGGAGCTGGTGACCTCGATTAGCATTATCGAAATAGCCCAGGGAAAAAAAGAACCCTTTTGGCAAAGCTTACCGGATGGGGCGAGAAGGGGAAGATCAGGTCATGAGAGAAGATGGCCGTCCAGACGACAGCAGTGAGCTATTTTTTTTCTGCTTAGAAAGTTGAATCATAGAGTACCCGTGTTGAGAGAGTACTCACCACCCAGACCCCCACCTGAGCGACCAAAGCCGTTCCTAATTTGGTGATCAGTGGGTGTTCCAGCTCCTGATATCAGATCTGGCATAAACTCACCGCTCAAGAAGTTACGATAGATGTTCTGGACGACCTCTCCAGGCTGTCCCAGAAGAGGCTGGTCCTCTCGGGGCTCGACGGCGGCAGCATGATCTCCAGAGGTCATCTTCACGGCTTCAATCGCAATTTCTCACTCCCAGGAATGTGGCAGCGTGGATAGAAACGAGAAAGACAGTGTCCCCAAAGCGAGCAGCGACTGCAGCCAAAGTTATCAGCGTATTAATAATAATGAGGACGCCTTAAATCGGTGAAGGATGAGGGGTTAAAATCGTACCCGGTAGTCTCTTCGCCCGCAGTCCTGCTACTCCCGGAACAGCTGATTAGGTCCAGTAGCTTGGAGCAGATATGACGAGCTTCCAGGTGGTGGATTGCAAATCGACCCCATGATGATAACCCCGCCGTTAGTTGGTTCCTCCAGTCTTTGTGCCATGGCTTGCCAGTTCCTTACCAAGGGCATCCTTTTCCTTGCCTGGTAGCTAAGGTACCCGGGCCCGCCTGCTAGTTTGATCCAACGGGAGGTTTCGAATTACTACGCTCGTCAACCAATCATGACGCGGCTAATGTTTACGGTCAATTCTGCTTCTAACAGGAACCTATCTGAAACCATATTCCTTTTCCCCTCTCTCTTTTTTTCTCCCATAGTTAGGTACCCTGTCCATACAAGCAGGGCTATGTGGTTTCCTGCACCAAACAGAACAGGTAAAATCGATACTGTAGCCTGCGATCGCACCATTAACATTTTGATATACACGAGGATGGAATAACAGATTGGTCGAACCTCCTGTCGAGGACCAACTGGATCTAACGGCTTGCTGGTCTCGTCATCGAGATCCTCCGGCTATCTGTGAGGCCTGTTGTCAATCTGCCTCTGCGATCCTACCCAGCAGGTAGTACAAACGCGAGACCTCATCAGTACGTCATACACGGCTAGAAGGGATCAGACTGATTCTCACGTCATACTATGACATGAACAGAACACACGAACGATGACGAGTATCCACCTGGATAATCATTGCATAAAGATGGATGGGGAATATGTGAATATCTCATTACAAACATATGCCAAGACAATAAGACTCACATCACACATACAGCCTCTTTCAAAGAGGACGCCCATTAACGAAAGATCGTCAACAAAGCTTAGAGCAGATCATGGCGACATGAGGTGGTCAAAACCAACCAAAACCCGAAGAAAAGGAAAA